ATCTAAATTTTTTTGCTTTCAGCTTCCCATGTTATCTGATTTATTCCTCCTCTGTGACAGTTAACTAAATGTCTTTGGGTTGTGGACAAAAAAAAACGACATTTATCATTTGAGTATTGGGAAACACTGATCAACATTTCTCATCATTTTCTTACATTTTATAGATCAACTGAAAATAATTGTTGTTTGAGAAGTTTGTGCCATCCATACATGATGCTGACATTTGAACCGCGTACACAGAACTGAACTGTGCAACATGAACATGCTTTGATTGCGGGTGTGTTTTCATTATTTATAGAAAAGAAGAACAACTTATCAGCAGCACTGATGGGGATGAAAAAAGTGAAGATATTGATCCCCAAACTGGACGCTGTGAGTGTCTTTGTGTTGTTCACTGCTAGAAGTGATAATAGAAAAGCAGATAAAAAGTTGGAACCATACTTGTTAAAAATAGTCATCAAACTGCATCAACAAGCATCCCAGCAGTCCTGACACACCGTTTTGTGTTTGTTTTTTCAAATCTAGATGAAGCTGCGGACTACAGTGCTCGTTTCCCAATTTGCGTCTTTGAGTAACAAGAGACTGGCGACAGAGCAGAAGATCGATGATGACAAGAAACCTTGTGAAAGACCTTCGACACCCACTGAGGACACAAATGAAGCCAGCAGTGAAAAGGTGAGGAATCCCTGTAAGTGTAGGGAATCACATGCCTCAATGGACTCAATTTCCCACAATCCTCCTCATTATATGTCAACTCCGTCAGATTTTAGATGTCTGACTGTTTGTAAAAGAGAGAGAAAATCCATAGCATTGTATAAACGTCACAAAAATGAATCAGTCTTACACTTGATTTAAACAAAAAACAACAAATTGTAATAATGTAGTTTGGCCACTGTCCCTGAGAGCATAATGCATGTGAAAGTCATGATTCACTCATACAAATAAAAATAAAAAAACAGCTGCATCGCTCAATTAGAGGTGAAAATCTCCACAGGGAACCTTTAATGCAGTCCTTTTTGTTGTTGTTTTCAATGTTACTGTGGTTTATTTGCATTGACTATGCTGGTGCATCAGTTATTTAAGATAGAGAACATTGTATGTATTCTAGACTCATTTAAGTGAAGTATTTTAAGCCTTTATTTGTTTCAATTTAATTACTATTGGATGATCCCCTTCATGCCACACCAACTTGATGCAGTAATTTGTGCAAAAGGAGGCAACTATTGAGGATATAAATTAACATTCTCTTATGTTGTAAATCCTTTTTTTGATTGATCTTTGGAAATATTCTAATATTTTGAGATACACAATCAGCAAAATTACAATTTTTATAAAAAAAAAAAAAAAAAAAAAAAAAAACGCAAAACCAATATGTTAACTTATTCATGATGTTCTAATTTTTTGAGATGCCCTAGTGTAGGTCGCCTGATAGAAATACACTTAACCAAATGTTTATTTGTCCTTTTCTCGTGTCAGGAAGTGCACATGAACTGCTCGAACTGCAAAAAGAGCATGGTGAAGGGGCAAACCGCCTACCAGAAGAAAGGCTTCACAGACATCTTCTGCTCCAAGACCTGCCTGTTTGAAATGTTTCCGCCCAACAGAGCAGCCGCTAGGATGTGTCATTACTGTCGGAAGTAAGTCTGAAAAATAAAACGGCTCCTCACAGGGCTTCACCGGTCCATCTTAATGTGGCGCAAAATAACTGGAGGCTGTAAACAGGCTTCTTAAATCCATCAGTGGATGGTTTGTGGTGCTTTTCAAGCTGCTGATATGAACCTTGAGTGATTCTTGCTTTCTATTTATTTATTTATTTATTTGTATTCTGAAATGAATCAAAACCATCAGCTGCCTGCAAGGTCAGAAAAAAAGACAATAGTTTAGTTTGCAGTTGTGGAAAGTAACTAAGTACATTTACTTGTTAACAGAAGTATTTCCATTTTATGATACTTTATACATTCACTCCACTACATTTCAAAAAGAAATATTCTACTCAACAGCTTAAGTTGCGTTTAGGGTGAAGATTTTACACATTGGCTAATATAACAAGCGTTTAAAACATTACATAGCTGCACATTACACCAGCGGTGGCCATCTTCCTAAAACCAGTGTGTAGTCAGAGTCGCATTTCAGATGTTTATAAGTTGCCAACAGCTCCACCATTTTTTTTCTGAAAACTTCTTGCATGGTTTTATTTCAGTAAATGTTCAAATGACCCTTTATCTCAGCAAAGATCAAAGATTAGATGAGCAAAATCTTGTGTTTATGGACATTTCTGTGTGACATTGTGGGGCAGTGTAAATGACAAAGGTGTTTTGCACAGATGTTGGCGGTGAAATGTTAAAATCGCTTTAAACGACTCGACGTAACCGCATGCAGTTCAGACTTGTGTTGAAAGTGACACGGAAATGTCAGCAGGTCTGACCAAGTAAGATTTTGACTTTTACAAAACAGTGGCAGGAAGCTGATATGTTCCAATCTGAAAGAGGCTGTGGAGAGTTCTTATTATCCTCGTATGTAAAGTTGGTGTTTAAAGTTTGCACACAGAATTCTAGGAAAAGAAAAATCTAACAAAACATGTATTTTCTTAATTAAGGGTTGCCTTTAGCCTTGAGTGTTCAAAACTCTTAGCAAAGTCATCAGTGTAGTGGACTCTAGTAAGTTCTATGTATTTTATGGCTGCTGAGGTTAAGTGTGAGCAGCTTTTTATATCATTCTCCACAAACACAGTCTTTGTGTCTGTGTTGATGCTCTGTCCATGTTTTTTGTTTTTTTTAATCCCCTCCTCCCTGAACAGTCAGTAAATCACTAAAGACTCCTGTTGCTCTACCTCTGTGCTTTATCTTTACACGCGCAATTCTTCAATTTTATGTGCAATATTGTAATTTAAACTGTTTCCGAATTTATTACTTAGTTTAGGCAAGTTTATGTCTCTTTTCACAGTGCTTTTTATTTACGTAGTACTTTTATTCTTTTCTTTTACATATATTTGATTGAGAATTTCTTGCATCTAGATTTTTATATTTATTGCCTGTCTTGTTATTGTTGTGTACCAAAGTTTCAGTCACCACGCCAAATTTGCTGTGTGTGCGAGCTCACTTGGCAATAAAAAGCTTTCTGATTTGTGATTCTGATTCTCCTCCTGTCAGGGCGATAACTCAGCTTCTGGACCTCATCATGGCTGCTGTGGATGTTAAAGGAACTATGAAGGACTTCTGCAGTCCAGTCTGCCTGTGTGCTTTTAAATCGTGTCCTGTTCCACCCCAAACCCCACCGTCCCTCTGCAGCATGTGCAACATGCCCTGCACTGTAAGCACAAATACACCTTTCTCCTCAATGAAACTGTTCATTTTAGTCCATGAACTTCATCACCGCTCCTGCATTAATGTCTTTTACAGGTCGCGTGTACGTTGACCCTGAATCAAACTGTGCACAAGTTTTGCAGCGACGACTGCTTGGACGGTTTCCAGAGGGAAAACGGATTCATCTGTGAGAACTGCAGCAACACCTGCAACGACAAGCCGCTTGCGCTGATGCTGGAGGACGAAACCAAAACCCTCTGCAGCGCCGATTGTCTGGATGAGCTCAAAGAGGTGCGTAAAAAAACAAAAACTATGGGGGTGTTGTTGTAGTAAAACTATTTGTTAATGTGTATGGAGAGTTGTGTGTCTGTATCCCAACCTATGTCCGTAGTGAGATTTATCAATGTGTAAAAGATTTGTAAAAGATTTGTCGATGTGTAAACAGATCTGTAAAAGGGTACAAAGATATTAGTAGCTGAAGAGTCATAATATTTGGCTACAAGTGCTGGAAATACAGACAAATCACTGGTTACAAGTCCAGCGGGCCTCACCATTGGCTGTCTTTTTACACATGACTTTTACTGTACTTCTGCAGTGAGAGATTCCTATCTATAACTTGAGTGTTTCTTTGCCCTGAGCTCAGGCTCACAGGCTCGTTTATTCTGGCTGCTCTGTACCTCAGTAGTTATGGCGCCTGCAAGCCGTCAGGCGGCACTATCCCCCAGAGTCTTTGAGGGCATTGTCTGGTATGTGAAAAAGTTAAATTTGCTGAGTTTGTGAGTTGCTGAGAAAAAACTTTCATGATGGCTTGCAGGCGTATTACTCATTACAGCATACAAATACATAAGTCGTGAGTATAAAAAAACGTGGAGAGCAGCTGCACAAAAGCAAATATTTATACAATTCTGAATAAATGGCTTGTTAAATAATTATTTGCTTTATTGTTTAATGTCATACCAGTGTCTAATGATAGTAATAGTAGTAATAACTATATGCTAAAAAAGCCAAAAAGTACAAAACTACCAATGTGTGGCTGCCAACCAACGTTCTGTTTTCTTTATCTGTGCTTCTGCAGAATATGGCGACGTCCCAGCCCTGCACCATGTGCTGCTGTTCTCGAACGGTGTCCGACATGGTCAACTACAGGAACAGGGAAAACGTGGTGGAGCTCTTCTGCAGCCGCACATGTGTGACGTCCTACAAGCTACGACCAGAAGCTCTGCTCAGTCTTGAAGGTACAAGGCGATGACTTTGTCAAACTGCATTTTTTCTTTCTTGATCTCCGACCGTCTCTGTTTCTCCTTAGTGGGTGTTCAGACGTTAATTTACCTGCACAAGGAAGCGATGTGATAGTAGCTTCATCTTAAACCCTTTCTGGGGTTTTTTTTGGCTTCGGTAAACATTTTCACTGACTGTAATATGAAGTCCTGCACCTCTATGAAAACAGAACAACCATGACTAGATGGAGAGAGGAATCAGAACTGTCTTCAGTGTTCTATGTTACAGTTAAAATGCCATAAATCATAAAAAGAAAAGGAAAGACAAAAAAAATCTGTTTCCTTGATTACTTATTTCACGCAGATTGAAAAAGAAAATAGAATCCAGCAGGTGTTACTCATACAGGAAAAACAAATCTGACTCAAAAAAATAATTTACTTTAATTTGCTTCCATGATTGTTTCCTATCTGCTCTGTAAAAACACAGCCTGCAGTTCAACCAAAAAGTCACTGAATTTTTGTCTCATGGCTCTTGGTCGGAGCCGAGTCACTAATTATTTCATGGTTGCACCAAGATGTGCAGAATTTCTTATTTTTTATTTATTTTTGTTTTGTACAGAATGCGGTTAATGCACTTGACCTTTTTTTGGTGAATTTCTAAATGAAACACGTAGTTGATTTTGGTGGAATATCACAGATTCACACTCAGATTTGGTGAAGTTTTCTAACAAAACGACACGTCATAGGCGAGAAGTGCGAGAGATAATTAAACAGAATTCAGGAACTTCACACTAAAGCATATCTAAAAGTCTAAACAGAATAGATCTTTAGTTCTGATGGTGCTCATCATTTCATCCTCCGTGTTGACATGTGCAAGACAAACAATAGGATTGTGATTAAAAAATAAAGGGCAGGCCCATCCCAGACAAACGGACTGAAAATAAAACTTTTACATGTTTGTGCAGTTCCTCTAAATGCTAAATAGGAAGCCCTAAGGGGAGGTGGTGTTGGTGGTTAATTCATTCAGAGTACTTGTGTTGGCAGTAAAACTAATCACGATTCTGATTTTTTTCCCATCAGGAAAGAAAATTTCACTTCAGTCCAGGAAGAAAAAAGACCAGCAGTCAAACACTGTGAGTATAATTTGTGCAATAAATTGACTTCATGGAGGAACTGTAGATATTATCTGAGGTGTGGATTAAGTATGCCGCACATGAGAGCAAGTTTTGCTTGTTGTTATGCTCTAAATTAGGCTTTTTACTTGATGGAGGTTCAGCAACATTTTGTCTGAGTCAGTCGAATCCGAGCAGGGTAACGTGCAAATCTAGAAACTGCTTCAAATCGCTGCCCGTCATCCCACAGGAGGACACCGAAGTCGGTTCGGACTCTCCCATGCAGGAAAATGGAACTTCTACAGCTGCTGGAGCAGACCTCAAGCTGAGGGTCACGACAGCAGAAAGAATTGTTTACTGTCACAAGTGTGGAAAGAAGCTGCCGAAAGGACAGTTCGTTTACAGGACGTACCGCTCGCAGAAGGTTTTCTGCTCTGAAGTTTGCTGCCGCGAAGGTCATCTTGACGCAAACACGGTCACAAAGAAGTGCTACAACTGCTTTCAGTAAGTCCAACATATCTTCTTTTTCATGCTTTCATGTCTGTTTTCACCTCAGTTCCTTTTTATATGGTGACTTTTTTTTAGATTTCATTTGTGTGATTCCATTTATATGCAAGGTGCATGCAAAATTTACAGA